AAAACGTATAAAAAAAAATTTAAATCAATTGTGTAATGATCTACAGAATCGGGGCACTCGGGACGTTCTTACCTCGATAAATTGTGATATTCAATCAATTGCCTAGGTAACTTATTTATACGCTTTATGGTACTTGTAATGTTTCACTAGCAAAAAAAATCGGCATGAACTAAACAAATATAAATAAAATTAATCCAAAATAATACACAGCCCCGAGAATTTCGCTCAGAATTAAATAGTTTTTACTATTTATTATTAACGTTAATACTGTCATATTAACTATATATAAGTCAACAAAAAAAGGTAAAGGATTAGGTGTAATTAAGAAACTTTGTGTATACCGTTGGTAGCTACCCGGGTATTATCAGTTTTTGCCTGTGGAATGTGTCGTACTATAGGCTGCACAACAATAACTTATTATAAATGTCACGATTATTACCTTAATCATATTCTATGGCAAAATAATGAGTAGGGGTTTAATAGAATTTTTTACGATAGCTCACAATAGAAACCTCAATAATTTCAATACACTCAGACCACCTCTAACCGGTTCGATGCAACTGGGGTTTGATAACTTAAAAATGCTTTATCTTCAAGCTGTGAATATAGAGGGTTTCAATAAGTCATTTGGTTTATGAAAGAGGCGAACGTAAAGATGGGAAAATGCGCATTTTATAATAACATGCGCATGAATGCGCATGATTTGATTTTATATTTTCCCTCCGGAAAATATCGGATATTTGCCAAAATTTTTTCCTGACCCTTCTCATCTTTATGTTCATTCATTTCTTTTCAGAATTTTTCAAAACTTCTGCATTCCTATTTCTTAATTTTGCCTGGCATTATACACCTTGGCCTAAATTAAATATACTTTAATTTTCCTATATAAAATTTAGATGGGATAAAATGCGCATGAAACCCATCTCTAGGCGAACGGCTATATGTATATGGAGATACAAGTAGTCGTGTAGGTGATTTCAATAATAAACAGCCAAATGTGACCGTGAAATCTCTTCACGTTAGTCACGTGATCAAGAGCGTTAAATCGCTTAACGTTCTATACAACTAACTACGGGTTTTACTTGGGTATGAAGACACAAATATTGTTTTATTTAATAATTGTGAGGTTAGAACTGTCGATTTCCAACGGGAAATCGAAGGATATTTATACATGTTTTCAATAACCCTAAACCCTAACCTTAACTTAAAAAAACCCCTTAACGAAAAGGCCCGAAAATTTTTTAAAAATTCATACTAAAATAAGTCAAAATTTCAGCATCATCCCCGACAATAATAAAGAAATCAATGAGAAGTGGAAACTTGCTTATATCCCAAATCTTCTATTCTCTTTCCGATTACTATGTCTTCATATTGATATTCTCTCGATGTATTGTAGATTGCAATAAATATAATATCGCACATCCGAACTATGTCAGTAATTAGACCTAAATTAGTGTGCATGAACGTATACTATAAAATGGTGTTCAATTAGAAGATTAGTGTAATGAATTTAACCCTTTATTGAATCTTTTTAAAATGACAAAACGTGGGATTTCATGAATTTCGAAGACTGCTTTTTCCTATAAAAAGGACATCAAGCTATCAATAATGTTACCAAGAAATAAAATATCTGAATTAATAAAAAAAAACAACCTCAAAAAAATTCCCATCTATTTCGCTAAGAAATCATGAAGAATTTTATTTTTGTGTTCAGTTTATTTGCTATTTTTCTTACTGTAAATGCAGTTTCTTTTCAACTTAATAAAAGAGCTACCACCTTCAACCATTGTAAGGGTATTCCTGATTCTGAACTACTTACTGTGACAATAAATCCTGACCCACTTGCTAGTAACCAATCCGCTCAATATAATGTATCCGGGACATTAACTAAATATAATATCACCGCAAGTCAAACTTTTCTTGGAATTTTTCTTCAAAAAGGACCATACCTTATAAGTGACGGATACAATCAAGCATTCGACAAATCATATAATGCTGGAATCGCATTTACGATATTTGCATCAAATGTTTCTGTTCCTACTTTACCTGATTCATATTCTATTTTTGTTCTTGTTGGAGTTCCAGCTTCAGCCAACTCAGCCAACTCAGCTATTTATGGTTGTGCGCAGGCTCTTGTTGGTTCTGTATAGAGATGTTAAAATGCTTATATAAAACCTGCTCAAGCAGGTTTAAAGCACAAACTTTACAGTTTGCTTATAAATTTTTTAAGTACTGCTTAAAAGCAAATATGCTTTTAATGCTTTAAACCTGCTTAAGGCAAATATGCTCAAAAGCAGATATGCTTTAAATTAGCTTAAAGCAAATAATTCTAATTAAGCTTAGGATTATTACATTCGAAATAATATTTATACTTATGAGATTTTAATTTTTTTGAATTATAATTATTTGAGATTTTTTTTTTCAAGATTTAGATTTTAGGTTAATAATATATTGGTATATTGTTGTTTCATCAGAATTTGTTTTTTTAACATTTTAAATGATTCAAATAAAAACAAGTTTAGTTTGTTTTAAGTATAACTAAACTGTTTGAGCAATTTAACATCTTTATTATATAAATTTGCTTATATAAAGCATACTTGTATAAGCATGTTTGTATAAATTTGCTTATATAAGCATGCTTATATAAACTGGTTTATAAAAACTAGTTCAATTTGTTTTGATATCCAAGCAGGTATGCTTCGAGCATAAACCAAACTGCTTGAGCAATTTAACATCACTAGTTCTGTAGCTAATTTTTTCAATAGTTTTTCTATTAATACTTTATTTTAAATAAAAAATTATCATGATTGCAATATTAATAATAGAGCTTTAACAAAAGTATAATACTGTTTATATAATACTCTATATATTTTAGTAGCTATAAAGTTTTAACAGATCTTCTATATTAAAAAAGAATTATTAGTTTATAATTATGTTAGTTACTTTTTGCTATTTATATTTTTTTATATAATAAACTATATATCCTGCATCTTTATATTTTATTAATAAATGCAATTAATTAGTTAAAATTTTTTAAAATAGTAAATAAATATAAAAATATATATGAAAATATAAGTTATACACATTCAATTTTTTGTCATTTTAGAGTACAGATTGTGTGAAAATCATATGCAAGTAATTTGGGGCATAGAGGTAGTAAGGTTAGTTAAAAAAAGTTATTATATAAATAATAGAGATTTGTATAATAGTTAGCAAATTTGTATAAATTAATTAGTTAAAATTTTTTTTAAAATAGTAAATAAATATAAAAATATATATGAAAATATAAGTTATACACATTCAATTTTTTGTAGTTTTAGAGTACAGATTGTGTAAAAATCATATGCAGAGAATTTGGGGCATAGAGGTAATAAGGTTAGTTAAAAAAAGTTATTATATAAATAATAGAGGTTTGTGTAATTATTAGCAAATTTGTATAAAATTGATTATTAATAATAGAGATTTGTGTAATAGTTAGCAAATTTGTATAAAATTGATTATTAGAATGAAAATATAAAAGGATAATTAATATTTCCAAAATATAAAGTTAATTTGGATAACTTTGGAAGTGATTAAATATCACACAAAATTATATGTAGTGAAAAGAACAAAAAAAGACAAAAAAAGTTGTAGAGAGTGAGTAAAAGAGAGTAAAATGTTTTAAAGAGTAGCTTTGTCAACTTTAAAACTACAGAGATGAAATATAGCTTGTTATGACAAACAAAATAAATAGAACAAACTTTTGTTATTAATTAAAGAAAAGAGATTTAGAATCAGATTAAAGAGTAAATAGCAAAAGTTTAAATTTTAATCTAAAAAGTATTTTAGAATTTTACTCTACAAATATAAGAGCTATAGGCTTGAAATTTAAGTATTATATATATTTTGATAAGCTGGACAACTTTTATTATTACATATAGTTAAGTTAATATAGTATTTTTTGCATAAATAGATATTTTTTATTATACAAATTTTAAGTAAATTTTTTTGTATTAGAAATTTGCAAAAAGAGTTTTTATTAAATTATAATATAAATTAAACCAACTTATATAAATGTATATATTTTTAGTTTTTTATAAATAATATTAATTCTATAAATAGTTTAATAATAAAATATATATTATAATACTTTTGAACCAATTTAGATTTATATAAAATAAAAAAATATATTCAAAATTATAGATTTAAATTTAAAATAGGGTAATTTTTGAGATGTGGCATCTTAGTGAAGTGGTCTAGTTGTCACCCTCACCAAATGATAATAGTATAAATCTTAAGTTCGAATTTCAGGGATAGCAGTTTTGAAAAGAAATAGAATATGTCAGACTACAATTTCTACTTAGGTTGGCCCAGTGATGATCTAGTAATCTGGTCTGTGGAACCGGAGAAAGGATTCTGAAAGGCTGTAATCTGTGGGCTATACTTGGCACAGGTCACAAAACTGAAGATTGAAGCCTATTTGGGAAGTCCCAAGTAGGACATAGCAGTGATCTTTGATGGCACTACAAGAAGGCTAAATTTGAACCAGGGTCTGAAATTGGAGAACCGAGTGACCAGGTAATTTAGTGGGAGACACACCAGCTGAACTGCCAGTTTAGACGCACTGGAGAAAAAGACTATATGCTCCAAAAGTATAAACCAAAAGGAGGACGTTCTTCAGGCACCTAAAGTCTGAGCAGACCAACTCTTCTGGGTTGCCAGCTGGAAGTAAAGGAGGGACTAATAAAGAATCTGGGTAAAAAGATGGTTAGAATGTAGGTACCAGGGTTGTTGTGAACTTTACAAGGGCAAGAGTATGTAATTGACGACTAATTAGGAAGGTTGTGCTTGAGATACAGATTGGGTTATAGCAGTACCCCAAAAGTTGGCTTGAGATATAAACCTGGTGGCGGCAGTACAACAGGTACTAGTTAGGAAGAAGTTACTGAACATGCAAGTGAGTACATGTGTGGGACACATTTCAATGTTAGATTTATTACAAGGATAAATGCTTTCTGTTGATGGCTAAAGTCTTAAGGTCTTAAATGGTAAATTACTCTCCATATAGAGGTATATTAGGAGGAAATATATGATATCAGTTGAAGTCAGAGAGTTTAAATAGATAGCTTCCTAGTTAGGCTATAAGTATGATAGCTAGTGTAAAACCTCTAGGATAACACTAATACTTCAGGCAGACTACTTAATTAGGCAACCAAAAGTTGTATGTGTAACTAGTTGTACTCTCATAATACTGATGTAATAAATAAAGCCAGTGTTAAAATTAACTAATATTGGTCTACCTGTTTGAACTAATAAAGTGCCAAGGACCTAAGTGGTCACCTTAATATTAAAAAACAAAAATAAAAATAGAGTAATTTTCAAAATTAAATTTTAGATCAATAATAATAGTAATAATAAATTTTTTAAAATTTTATAATGTAACTACTCTTAATATAGTCACAAACTTGATATACTTTCTATTTTATTTTTACTAATTAATTTTATAGCACTTTACCTTCTATATAGTCACAAATACAATATAATTACATTTATCTAATTTTTTTTTTATTTCTTTGACAGTTTTGTTGAAGCTCAAATACAAATTATTAAACTATTAGACTAAAAACAAAGTTTAAAGCTATTTCTAATAATATCTAATTTAAAATTGCAAGCTCAACATCATCTGGCTATATGTTATGCACCCAAATGCAACTTGTTGCACCAACCTATATATGAGTCAGAAGATATTGTCAGCCTATCAAGAACTAAACCAAAATGGGGTTAACCCACTCTCAATTTATTTTACAACACCCTCCTTAAACAACTGCTTTATCTCTGCTATTCTCTCAATATTTGCTACAACACTTTCATTATTCTGTACAATATTGATCTTGCTTTTTTATATTCTAGATATAGTGCTGCTTTTGACGTCAGGTATAATATTCTTCTCACAACCACTTTGCTTCATCACAGAAACTATACTATTTGCTTTTTCCCAGACAACTATGGACCTACATCTCTTTTGCCAGATTTTATCACAAAAACCATTTTCAACAATTGTCTTGTACTTCAATAATGCTTTATTTATAACTCTTCTTGATAGTTGCTAGTTTAAAAACGCATCAACTACTTCATTTAGAATAAGCTCTTAAATGTAATCTTTTCTTCACTCTATCTGCTTTTTAACTGTACTACTAACTACTATATTTCTGAAAACTTCAATAGAAGCTCTTCTTCTATATACTTTGCAAACAATCAAACATGCTACATCTTCGATTATGTTCCAAAAAAAAAAGCATAATTAGTACACTCAACTAGATGATCAGTTGTCTCCTTTCCAACTTCGCAACTAATATATAAATCTGTTAGATATAAGTTAGGCTTATATTTCTTCAAGACTGAAAGAACTAGTAGATTCTCACTTATGCACTTGTTTCTAAATACTAGACTTCTACTTGCAATTTAGAACTTGCAACTGTTTCCTGTTACTTTCTATTTTGATGTTATAATGCTTTTTAATTATGACTGAGGTCTTCTTTACTTTCAAATGTTTATATAGCATGTGAGCTCCTCCACTCTGCACTAGTTTTAAGGCCAAGTAATATTTTAGCTATCTTTCTTGTAGATAACTCTAATAGTGTGTTGTTTAAATGCACTGTATATAATTTGTGGTGGTTGTTTTTAACTAGTAATAATGAGATTTGATCTAACTGTGTTCTTTCTTTTGCCAGCTGATTGGCCCTTTCATTCCATCTTACATTACTGTGTGCTTTAACTTTCACTAGGTCAAGTGCAATATTCTTTCACTTGTAGATATTAAGAATTGTCGCAGCTGATACTGAAAATGGCTGATGCTGAAATTTGGGGTCTCTATTTAAATCTATAATACCTACTAAAATTCACATATACTTTTTTATTAATAAAACTACCCTACTAACCCTAATCTAACTATGAAAAAAAAGTGTAAAAAAAAGGCCCAAAAATTTTTTATAATTTTATAATAAAATATGAAAAAATTTCAGCATCAGCCGTTTTCAGCATTAGCTGCGACAAGAATTTTGATTACCAAGTTAATATTTGGCTTCTTGCTTCACAATTTTGTATTGGTTAACAATACTGCATTAAACAAACTTGCTATTGCTGCTGCACTATCAAGCTTAATTACCACTTT